TGTCCTTGAATCTTGATGTCATTTTCGTTCAAAAAGCTAAGTGGTAGCCAATCGATACCTTCTTTTTCTGTGTTTTCCAATTAATACATAAGTGTTATCTTAAAAGAAGACATTTTGACGTTTGCAACGAAATCTGTGGCTTTTTTATTTCAATAATGTACGAGTTAATTTCAATAATGTCGTATTTATTTCGATCATTTTGATAAAAGTGTCAGCCAAATATGCCAGTTTGCCAAATATGCCCGATGTTTAAAACCGCCGCCAATACAGGCTTATGGTCCATCAAAAATGCTGCTACTTTTGCACACAGTTCAATCAAAAGTTCAATTAAAAGTATAGTAATCAAAAGTAAGTAAAGTCACTTTAATTCGCAACAACCATCTTACTTGAATACGTAGTAGGAGGGCACATAGTGGCTCCTATAATTACTATGTGTAGTCCATCGTAGTAGGAGGGCACATAGTGGCTCCTACTACGATGGACTACACATAGTGACTCTTACTACATCAATCTACACCGATGGTTCTAAAGGAGAATGTGGCACCGGTAGCGGATACTGTGTTCTACTTGGGAACCCGATCTTAAAGACCTGGGAAAGAAAGCTTAAGCACCACAACTCAGTTTTTCAGGCTGAACTGATTGCATTAAAAGCTGCACTTGTCTACGCACTGGAAAATAACTATTCCAGTATATATTCAGACCAGCCTCTAGCTCCAGGCAATCTAAGCACATGTAGTAAAAATCCACTCGTCAGGGCCATACAAAACTCTACTAGAACAAACCCTAAATACTATAGGCGAACTCCAGTGGGTACCGCCCACACTGGAATACTGGGTAATGAAAATTGCAGATGCAATAGCCAAAAGAGCAGCAACTGACCCCACGTTCTCACACTTGACGTGCCTCTCCCGGGTTCGGTCTTAAAGCTTAGCTCGAGAGAGAATTACTGAAACGTTGGCAACATCTGTGAGAGACAGAGACCACCGGCAGAAGAGTTCACAGATTTTTTTCAAAAGTATGCCGCCTTCTAAAACGTGGCTCGTCTCACTTCACTCAATTTCTAATAGGGCATGGTCCTTTCATGACTTACCTGCATCGTTTCAGATGACGCGAAAACAACCATTGCTCATGCGGGATGGCAGGAGATCCGGACCACTATCAGTTCGCTTGCCGAGAAACTGCCGAACATCATCTTAGGCAACGAGTAGCAGACCACATCCATGCAGGGGCCGAAGCTAAAAATCTTCGAAAAAAACGCAAAATCTCAGACAGGCTGGAGTAATTCTCAGCTGCCATTCTCGTCACCAGCACAGCCCCCGTATACTCTGTACCTGTAATGAATTTATTTTGTCTTAGGCTAGCTTCCTCTGCTTTTTTTTCCTGTTTATACTTATCTTCTTGAACTCTAAACTCTGAATTGTGAACCTTGAATTATGTATTTTGCCTTATTTTATGTATGTTTCCACTGTTTTGCCTTTTTTTTATTTTATGTATTGTTTTTACTTTCTAGTATTTACACTTCTTATTTTTTTAGTATTTGTAACCACCTATCCATTACTCTGTAAATATGTAACTGAATTGTTCTTCACGCCCGCAATGCATCCTATTCCATCATGCACTATCGTCGTCGTCCAACTTTGTTTGCACTGCCCCCAGCAGTCGTCTTGACACATATTGTATTTATAGTGTGTCTTTTGTTCAAGTTATTTCCGTCAGCGGGGCTACCTGGCCGATATGCTAACTACCCAGTGGACCGGCTGCGTCGCTGTCGGTGGAAAGAAAGAAAGTGGCTCTCCATATATTCACACATTAGTTTGAAGAGCCTTGAAGAGGTGGCGATTTTAAACAAGTTATTATTACAAACATTCAACACGATCATGAGCTCAGAAGGCATACAATGACAATAATGAATGTCTATGAAAAGCATAATGTCTGATGTTACTTTTTACCTTAACTTTAATTTTAGCAATGGTTCCATCATTGTGACCCATCATTGTCTTTGAACCATCAGAGCATATCTGCAAATTTCCTGCCGCACGGTATTTCGTTTGATAAGAAGAATTTATCCAAAACATTAAATATTCGCCTCCTGATATGCTCGCTGGTAGTGGTCTGCTTGGATAGTTTGTTAAGTAAGTATAAGAGTATTAAAACTGCTAATCGGGGAACCATTCATCCATTTGAAACGCGAATTTGGTACGCACAAGTATCCCTTTTGTTATCAACCATATCTCTGATTTATCAAGTTACGATGTTATTTAACAAAGGTATGTTAGAAAATTTTTTCCCTACCATTTGGCTTTTACATTTTGAGCAGTTTATAGTAAATGTAAGATTTTATGTTCTATTTCTTTAATTTGCGGTGGATTAATTCTTAAACTTATAGACTTAAAGTAATTTATTAGTTTCAAATTATAAGTCTGCCAGAAAAAAACTATTTTGCGAATCTTTTCGAGCTAACCGTAAATTCATCTAGGTGTTAGACTATGATCTGAAATTTTCAGACAGTAGTTTTGTTTTATTTGCAAATTTAAGGCAAATTTGGAAGTTTTATCGATTTTCTTGGAGCATTTGATATTCTTAAGCATGAAAAATGATCTTAAAATGATGCCTAGTAACTCAAGAATGTTGGTCAAATCTTTAAAACTAAAATTAAATGTAAGCATGAACTAACACTAAATTTTAAGGTGTCGGATTTTGGAAATATTCGTCCTAATAAGCTCTTCCATATATACTGAAGGCAGTCATTGCTTTATTTGTTTTTTTTTTTTTTTTTTTTTTTTTGGTTTATCCACATTTACACAAATTCGTACAAAAGAGATTTTAAAAAAACTATTAAGCATTTCATTCAGTAGGATATGATCATGTTTATGTTTTCTAGAGGATGCTGACATTTACACGAGATGCTCAAATGTGAAGTTCTTCATGCACTATTATTTTTCTTTCAATACGACGAACTGTCTTTTTACATTTCTATTATGTGCGGAAATGTTTCCTAATAACTACTAATTATTAAAATTACATTGCAATTAATCTTAAAAATAAAAATAATAAACAAAATATTAACTAGTGAAAATTCAAAATCACTCTCCAGTTTGAAAATGCTACAATCTTTTGGTTCTGTAATTTAAAATAAATAAAGCTCGAGAGACGACAGATTCTAATTGATGAATACGAATTCTAATTTTTGGATTGCATTTTAGAAATAAATTTTTTTCTAGCTAAATTAAATATAGTTTTTCAAGTTGTTTTACACTGCATTTAATTGATATTTTAGTCAAATTTTACGTATTTAAAGTGGTCTTTCAAATGGTTTTCTTTGTTCAATAGAATATTATTAAGTTTTTAACATTTGACTTGTCATCAAAATTGATATTCGTAGGTTTACAAGCCATGTTCTGCGATTTATCACTTTCTTTTGGCTAAGACACAGTTAGCGTAAATTTTAACACAAATGAGGAAAACATTTATTCAAATTAGGAAAGCGCTGTACTAATTGATATTTTTGCTTTATGTGGATTAGATAAGAACAAAATATTATATTTGTAGAAATTATAGTGTACAGTGCTGAAACATTTCCCATAAAATACTGTACCTTGAAAAAATTTGTTATTGAAGTGTTTAAGTGCATGCAAAAGAAGTGTTCATATATTCAGATTTTTGAAAACTGTGTTTTTATCTCAACATTGTAATTAAAAGATGCTATTTTTTTATTCAGACCTTATCCCTAACTATTAATTTTTTATAGCCTAATGATAAAAGCAATGCATTAATAGTGATATATTTTATTTCATGTTTTATCTTGTTTTCTGTACGGGTTTATGATTTAATGGATGAACTGTTTTGTAATATATATGCTAAGCTAAAACGTTTTTTTGTTTCCTTTTATTTATATCAATTTATGTAATCTATCTTCCTATGTGCAGGGTGAGTCTCTTGAAAGAACCCCCGTCAAACATGTCTAAAAAGAATGAGTAATTGAGTAAATGCAGTACATTGTGACAATAACTTACCTACAGGAGGTGCTGGAAATGATCTTCATTGACATAGAGGCACGTGTGCAGACAAGGCCACATGCTCTAAAAAGCACGGGCAAAGACATCCTGTGGATAACTGTGGTAGTAAAAGTGTTCTGGAGTTCTTCGAAATATGAGGTTTGTTAATTCAGAAGTCAAACAACAAAAATCAGCGTTATATGAAAATTTTGTAAATATAACGCTGATTTTTGTTGTTTGACTTCTGAATTAGTATTTATTCGGCGTGTTATTGTGTCTTAATTAATGAGGTATGTTGCTGTACACTTGTCCCTCTAGAGCCCTCACAACAAGAAATCACAGAGGGATAAACCTGGAGAAAGAGGTAGCCAAAGTTGGTTTGTGCCACGGCTAATTACGCGATCAGGCAGGGACACTGACTCAGTGCGTATGCTATATGCGCCGGGGCTCACTGGCTATATTGTTGATGTAAAAAGCTGAGTTCACAGTCTCATGGAAGAACACAAGGATGACGCTGTATGACAAGACGATACACCAGACACCAAGTTTCTGAGCATGCAGTGGCACTTCTGTGAACACGTGTGGACTGTCACTTGACCAATATCTCATGTTTATGTAACTCAACTGACCTGAACCACGCTGTTTACATGAAGGACACAGGTGAACCCCTGTCACACCCCCTCTAGGTAGGTTCTCGTCACATTGTACTGTGCGCAATCATTCCTTCACATACACTCGGCAAAACCTCTTTTAAAAAGACTTTTATATAGAGATTTCTTATCTGACTACAATTTTTTCATTTGCTCAAGAAAATGAAACAGTTATAAGTATTTCACTTTCTTGATACACAGAGAGTATTATTGAATGTTCCTTATTTTGTTCAAATATCAGTGATTTTACAAAATATTGTGGTATATGTTAAAAAAATTCTAATGAGTTTATTAGCTCAAATAAACTCGAATAAAAGATGCAGTCAGCACATACATAAAAGAAATGATGAGATAATTGTAAATCGAAACATATTTTATTTGAAATTCAACATTTATTGTTGAAATGGATAAACAAACAAGATATAACAAACAAGTTTTATAGGAATGCTGCGTACTTCAAAATGCTCAGTTTCTTCCTCTACAATGACAATTATGGAATCCGGGACCAATACAAAGTCCAGTGTGGTGTCCACGCTTTTTGCAGTGTTGAATGCATTTGTTTATGTCTGGACATCCATTGCTGAGAGACGTGTCCCTCCATACCAGGGGTTCTGAAAAAGTCATACTAGAAAGTTCTGTAAATGTTCAAGAATAGGTAACGAAATTAACGCATCTTCTGAAACGCATTTTACTTTGGGAAAATAAGACATCCATTAATAAGCATAATTCCGGTTATATAGCACTTATTTTTTAGGAAGGATGAGGACAAATCCATATAAATACTAGAAAATTGTTAGTACAGTTCAAAGTCCGAGATCCGGAGTCTCCGGGACTTCAGCGGTTTCGGCTTTTGGAAATTTCTGGATTTTAGATCGTGTGTTTAAATTTAATAAGATGATACACAGACAGGTAGAGGTACAGGTAAAAGTGGACGGGACACCAGAAATTCATCACTAGTCGTACAGGTATAGTCCCACTGCATTAACTGTGTTATGATAATTCTGATATATTGTTACGCTTTTCTCTTATAACACCAGTTGTTACGTTATTTTCTTCCTTCATGTTCGTACGGGGTTCGTCTCTGTTTCAGAAGAAGAATTCGTCTCAGAACTCTCCAGTCAGAATGTCTGTGCTGCTAAGGAATTAAAACGCGTAAAGACGTTCAGTTGATAGATACCAAACATGTTATCCTGACCTTCAGTTCGGCTGATCTGCCCAAAAGTGTCAAGGCCGGGTATCTTCATTGTCCAGTAAGACCGTACATCCCGAACCCCATGCGATGTTTCCAGTGCCAGCGCTTTGGTCACTCCAAAATATCCTGTCGAGGTAAGCCCACGTGTGCACGCTGCTCCGTGGAGGGCCACGACAGTGATAACTGTAACGCTGCGCCACTCTGTATCAACTGTAAGGGGGAGCACACAGCATATTCACGTTCATGCCCAAAATGGAAAGCCGAGAAAGAAGTACAGGCATTGAAAGTTACTAGAAACATCACTTATGCAGAGGCTAGAAAAATTATTGCTAGTACACAGCCACGTTCGAATGTCTCTTATGCTAATGCTGCTGCAAAATCCGTTAAATCCGTTGCAATACAAACCAATCTGACCCTTAGAGGTAAAAAAGAAAATAGTGAACCAGTAAACTCAAATAAGAACAAACTTATACAGACTAATGCAACTAAAAATGTATCAGGAAGCAATATCTCAGATAAAAACATATTAAATGAAAAAAATACAGCCACGGAAAACCTTTCTATTACAAAGAAAAAACAGGAAGATATTCAAAACATTAAACCTGGGAATCAAAGTTACAGCTCCCTCGAAAGTATGAGCTCGGATTTTGATGATATGGAAGTTGAGGCGGGATTGGAACTTCCAAAAAATCTCCTTCCGCGACAGACAAAGCAGCAGCATAGGCAAGACAGACATTCATAATGGCCACCCTTATTTCATGGAATTGTCGTGGTTTCCACCAGGGTCTCCTGTACATCAAGAACATGATCAATATTTATCAACCAGTCGGCTTCGCTTTGCAGGAAACATTTCTGATAACCAAGTCAGGCTTAGGAGGTATTCCTTTACGAGAAAGGACAATGTTGTTAGTGAACGCGCCTGTGGTGGTGTAGGTCTTCTCACCTCACATGACTATCCGTCAACTGTCCTTCCGTTAGCAACATCCCTTCAAGTGGCTGCTATACAGGTTAATATCAAAGGATTAGTTTCCATCGTTTCCATCTATCTGCCTCCAAATGAAGCCATTAATCAGAAAGAGCTGGACGAGTTGGTAGACCAGCTGCCAGAGCCGTTTATTATTATTGGAGACTTTAATGGACATAGTCAGCTTTGGGGAAGTAGTGATACAAATCCTCGAGGTAGACAAATTGAGCAGTTGATCGACGATCATTGCCTTTGTCTCCTCAATAATGGTCAGGATACATACTTCCATGAGCCGACAAGGACCTTTCACGCCCTTGACCTTGCCATCTGTTCGCCATCTCTCTTGCCCTTCTGTACGTTTAGTGTTGGAGATGATCCTCACAATAGTGATCATTTCCCTATATTTGTTACATTTACAAGAGAAGGAATGAATCCCGTCATAAGACCCTCACGTTTTATATTTGAAAGGGCGGACTGGGAGCTTTTCTCCTCTCTTGCCCACATTACAGAAGAAGTAGTGAATGATGTGCCGGTCGAGAACGCAGTGAAAGCTGTTACTGACATTATCATCCAAGCGGCCACAGCCTCTATACCTTTGAGCTCTTCAAAACCCCCCAAAATACCCAAAACCATGGTGGAACCACGAATGCCAGGAAACTCTGAGAACACAGAGGAAAGCCTGGAGACATTTTCGAAGATGCCCCACTCTATCAAATCTTATTGCTTTCAAAAAAGCTAAAGCAAACGCCCGAAGAGTGCGACGGCAGAGTAAGAGGGATTCCTGGATATCGTATGTGTCTGGGATAACGCCTTCAACACCCAGTAAACGAGTATGGGAAAGAGTAAGAAAAGCATGTGGAATATATAATGACCACTCACTTTCCATCCTTTCCATCCTGGAAAAAGATGGCCAAGCGATCAGCACTGCGGAAGAAATTGCCAACACACTTGGTGAAACATTTGCTGCAATTTCTAATGGCAGCAATTATTCCCAATCATTTCTGTCCGCTAAGCAGCGCGCTGAAAATATCCACATCAAGTTCAACTCTGACAACTCGGAACCTTATAACTGTGAATTTTCCCTCCTGGAATTAAGAAGAGCTTTGTTACAGACACATCGGTCATGCCCTGGTCCAGACGGCGTTAGTTATGAAATGCTAAAGCATCTTTCCTGTAAATCATTGAATGCCCTTCTCGCTCTGTATAATCGGGTGTGGAAGGAGCATAATTTTCCCAATGTATGGAAGAAAGCTGTTGTCATTCCAATACCTAAGCCAGGGAAAGATCCGAAGAATCCTAATAACTACAGACCCATCGCCCTTACAAGCTGCGTTTGCAAGCTTTTTGAGAAAATGGTGAACTGCCGCTTGGTCTATTATTTAGAAAAGAACAATGTAATTTCCCCATATCAAAGTGGTTTCCGTAAAGGCAGAACGACTATTGACAATATGCTCCTTTTGGAAACCTCCATTCGTAAAGCCTTTGTCAAAAATAACCATCTTGTATCTGTGTTTTTTGACATAGAAAAGGCATACGACAAGACATGGAGGCATGGGATTTTGCTTGATCTTTACACCATTGGTTTACGCGGCAACTTGCCAATATATCTGCAAAATTTCTTGAAGGGTAGGACTTTTCAGGTGAGAATTGGCTCTGTAGTCTCAGATGTATTCTCTCAAGAAGAGGGTGTGCCTCAAGGCTGTGTGCTAAGTGTTACTTTGTTTAGCTTAAAAATTAATTCTGTTCTGAAAGAACTTCCTCCTACGGTTTCAGGTTCTTTATATGTTGATGACCTCCAAATATGCTGTCAAGGTGCAGACATGAGATATGTAGAAAGGCAGCTGCAAATCGCTCATAATAGAATCGATCATTGGTAAAAAAAAAGGATTTATTTTTTCAAAACAGAAGACTGTATGTGTACATTTTTGCAGAAAGCGTAATCTTCACCCTGACCCTGAACTATATATTGGAGAATCAATGATTCCAGTGGAGTCTAAAGTAAAATTTTTAGGAGTGATGTTTGATCGAAAATTGACCTTCCTCCCACACATCTTATACCTAAGGAAGAAGTGTTTGAAGAGACTGAATCTTTTGAAAGTCCTGGCGAACACCTCCTGGGGCGCGGACCGTTGCTCGTTACTCCGGGTTTATAGAGCACTTATACGCTCTAAACTTGATTACGGGTCAATTGTTTATGGTTCTGCAAGGCATTCCATATTACTAAAACTAGATCCCGTTCATCATCAGGCACTACGTATATCTTCTGGTGCGTTTAGAACATCTCCAGTCCAGAGTCTCTATGTTGACTGCAACGAACCATCGCTTTGGTTAAGACGTGAGCAGTTGTCTCTCTGCTACTATTTCAATGTTAAGTCACTTCCTGACCATCCAAACCATATTTCTTCCTTCGATGACAGTTACAAACTCTTGTTTGAGGCTAGACCATCCCATATGCCTTATTTCTCACTTAGGGTTAACTCTCTAATTGAGAAATACCATATGACAGATCTCTCTACCCAAGTAGCAGAGCATTTCGAAATCTCACCTTGGGAGGATGCTCGGATTTGTCTCTTAGACCTTTTCCAGCATCAAAAGCAGCAGGACATGGTGATGCATCCTTTATTATTGAAGACCACATTGATGGTAAAAGACTGCATGACGCCTGCTCGGTCTTCACCTCAGAATTAAATGCTATATATTATGCTCTTTTGTTCATTTCTAAGCAATATCGAAGACAATTTATTATATATACAGACTCGTTTAGTGCTTTGAAATCCTTAAATTCAAGTCATAAGGCTCAGAATCCCAATGTTGTTGATATTTTGAGCCTTAACCTCAAATTAAGAAGCCGTGGGTATGATATTCTTTACTGTTGGGTTCCAGGACATGTGGGTATTAAAGGGAACGAGCTAGCAGACATCACAGCCAAATCTGCAGTTCATTTTGCGCATCGCCTCGTCCCGTTTAATGACATCCGTAAAGTCATCAAGGACAAGTTGTTGTTTAAATGGCAGGAAGTCTGGGATACTCAGCCAGCAAATAAGCTGAAAAGTATCAAACCAAAAATTGAATGCTGGGAGTCAAATAGGAGCCGGAAGGAGGAAGTTTTGCTGACCCGTCTGAGAATTGGTCACTCATATATTACCCATAGTTATCTGTTAAAAGGTGAGAGTGAACCGGCGTGTCCAAACTGTTTTGCTGTAATGTCAGTTCGTCATTTCTTATTAGAATGTCCAAATTTTAAAAATCTTCGTTTGAAACATTTTAAGAAATGTGACTTGCCTCTGGATCATATCATTGAAAAAGAGGTCAATTCAAATTTGTTTCAGTACCTGAAAGATATAGGTATGTTTTATTTAATATAATTTGATTTTGTTGTTTTACCTTATTGTTTTTAATAAGAAGTTTTTTTTAATATATCTCATGTTTGATGATTTTAATTTTGTTTTGTAATTGAAATAATTATGTGATGTGTGTAGTAGTTTATTTCAAACATTTTATCATTGTATTCACTAGCATTGCAGATAACCCCATCATTGTATTTTAAGCTATTCTTATGATTTTTATGTTATCTGTTTGTTTATATGTCTATTGGTGTTAAAAAGCTTTTTGACATGTGTTCCGGCGCATATAACCATTGAGATTTTGTGCCAAGAAACCCATTTCCACCACCACCACGTACGGGGTTCGTGAGGATTTGGAGTGAATTATGACAATACTACTTGATGAAGTATTGAAACACACTGTATTGCCAATTGTCAGGAGCTCCCAACACGTTTACAGTCTCGATAAACTAAGTAACCCGCTGACACACGCGCACGCCTCAGTTATCGCTATCCGGTGAGATGCTTCATGGCAAAGCCTAGAGTAGCCCCTACTCTGCTGGTCGTTCCGACTCCACTTACTCTCGATACTCTCCACGCTACAGCTTGCGATGCACTCGACGACACAGCTCCCGACTCTTCGGTTCAGTCGTTCCCGAAGCTCAACACGCTCTTTCGACGATGCACTAACCGCGATACACTAGGAGACTCCTTCTGTGCACTCGACGACCCACTCGGCACTGGCTCAATGACTGACTATCAGCTCGCTCGACGAGGTACACACTCGATACAGCAGGGTTTAAATAGCTTTTGGCTATACCAAGCTAATCAGAGCAACATAATTACGCCGACAAAGTGAACTCACTTATTGAAGAAGCAAAAACAATTGGTACAACTATCAGGAACAAACGATTTCTGTTACCTGCTGATCTCAGAGACAAGTAACAACACTCTGGAGCTCTCCGAAATTTCGCCCTCAGAGGACTGTCCTGCGTACCATCAACAACTGATGCGGAAGTTAACACAGATCAGGAGTTAGCCACCTCACTACCCATTGCCACACCTATTCCGCCTACTTACAACATCACGCGCTCATACGCGAAAGCGACCTCACAATCCTACAAGCACACTCTGCTTGTTTAGAAATGGGGATCCTAGCCAATATCAGTACGGCGCCAATCGGTGTATTGTTACTGGCTAGGTGCGACTCCATCATAACCAAAATATGTTTAAAAGGACATGCAAGAATCTCAGTTAGTCCGGAGAAAAATCATATTTATGGCACGCCTACGTATTTTTGTTGAATACTCCATAGTCCATTTCTAAATTTCGGGAGAGGGGAAATTTTATTTTTAAAAATTCTTTTTAAAAATGTTTTTGGCTGGCTGTCTAGAGGTTTGGACGTTTGTATTTCAGATTTTGTACTATATATTTATTAGTTTTTGAATTTTAAGACTTTTGTTATAGTGTTATTACTCTCTTCCGGAATATTTTAATTCACTAGTTCACAGATTTTTCTCAAACTCCAACGCAGTTGCAGCTGAGAGTTTTTGTGCAATATCTGGGTCTTTTAATTTTCATTTAAGTATGGAAAGTAATTTTGGTTCTTGAAATATAGATTTAAGGACTCTTCGTAAAAATAATAATTTTAAAGAAACGTTAAGTGTAAAGTTTAGTAATAAATGCACTACAATACCAAACTCAAGTTGGTAGGTTGTATTTGAAACCAAAGTAAAAAATGAACATTACAAACCATAAACATATGAAGTGAGTTGCTATTAAAATCTCAGTATGAATGCAGTACATATAAAAGTTCTGCATTTAATTCAAGTTTTGTAAATGTTTACACGTTTTACACTGTAGAGACATTAGGATCTTTCGAAGCAGGAAGAAGTGAAAAATGAGCAAAGCCTTCTCCAGGAATCGAGCCACGGACCTCTGGAATGCGCGCCCAGCGTGCTGACCACTACACTAGGAACCACCACACCACTGCCCACGACATTTTAATTGTTAGTTGGATATTTTGACCACAACAGAAAAAGAACACCTAAAAAGAAACTTTTAACTTCTGACATGAATTGCATTTCTTTTTAGCGGTGCCTCGAATGATTTTTTTAATTGATGCGAATATTTAAACTACTGTGAATGCTTCATATCACCAGTTGTATACATGGGATGAAAAAGCACCAATACAAATTCAGGAAATCAGTGCGCAGTCGCACATGCGCTCATTTTAGATGCATGCTTTTCGTAAATGGAAAATTGTACTGTACAGTTTTATAAAACCTAACTCGAACAGTGTGTTTACGACAAAGGCTTCTTATAAATTAGCTGAATTAGAATAATTTCGACAGGAAGCTTTTTTTCCGCTTAACAATTTTTTTTCTTCAAGATTTTAAGACTAACTGCAGCTATATACTTCAAAATATACGGTATTTCTGATAATTCTGCTCCGATGTTTTTCAAAAATTTGTTGAAAAAAAGTTGACAGCCATTATAGTCATCTTGAAAAAGTAAACCTTTCTTCGAATTTTTTACGCAAAGATTCAGTAATGATATATTTTATGAGTAACTGAAAACAAGAAATGATGTTCTCATGAAATATGATGTCATTATCAATTTTCTCATTATAGTTATAACTTTTATTTTATAACTAAATTTTAACTAATTAATTAATAACTGAAATTTTATCATATTTCAAAACAGTGAATTCTGTATAAACAATATGTATAGAACAAAGGGTTTCGTTGTCGAATATATAAATTCAGCTTTAAAACAGGATATATATTTACTTCTCACAAGGAATCTTTTCATTCAATGATTTAATTAACTATTTATTTGAAGTGAACAATCTGATTGCTTATTGTGCATCACCTGATAAAAACTACTGACTAAATAGAAGTGAAACTACTGACTAAATAGAGTGTGAAAGTATATAATTTAAACCTTGAGTTAAAAAATTACCATCTTGAGCACACTGCTGTGGAAGTATGCACTTCCCATTACTGCTCCTAACCAGACCATCTTTGCAGAAACATCCGCTGACGCATTGTAAAGTACAGGCAATGGGATTTCTTATGTTTGCGCAAGAAGGAGGACAAGCTGATCCACAATCCAGGAACACCTCGTCCTTTTCACACTTTTCTGTAAGAGAAATCCAAATAGAATACAAGAATAAAGACTGGTTATGATAACATTTTATGAATCGATTAACATAAGAGAGATAACAGAATAATAGTCCTACTAAAAATTTCAGATTTCAATCGAAAAGCAAATTGTATTTTAAAATGAAATTAAAATTTCATTATATTATCATTAATTCAGTTGCAATGAAAAGTTCAGAGTTAGAATTTAAACATTTCAGGGTATTACAAATGATACCAGATCTCTGACTCCGATAAACGAAAAAAAAAAAAAAGAATAAAAAAAAAGAAAGGATTCGGATTTTAACGGATGGCTCGAAGGATGTTTTAAAGTTTAATTTGGTTTATCGGTAAAGATTGTAAATAGAGATGGTTCAGGTGGAATAGCGAAACATTTTTTAAGATTTCGTATATTTATAGACTAAAATACGAAAGTTATTTATATATCTTTTGTATATTTTAATAGCGAAAGATATGTAATATAATTCTATAAACGTATTTAATGTTTTTAATTAGATATATAATGAGTTAAATGCATTTTATTTAAATAAATAAATCAGATGCAAAAGTAAAAAAAAATTACATTCTTAAGACGTCAATTAAAATATAGTTAAAATTTGAATCATATTTTTCTGAATGGCAGTAGACTCGAATGAAAAGTGAAACAACTCACTTAAAGCAAATGAACGAAAAAGCGCAAAATCGTGTTTTAAGACTAATAATCCTTTTCCACTTACGTACATCGTGCTCGCAAGCTTTTTTTTTTTTTCAGAACTAATCGACACTGATTGCGACTGACAGAAAACGTTCTCCGAAGGTTGTTAAAAAAGCCCTTGAAATATTTCTCTTGCCATCATAAAGGACATTCTTCAACTAGAAACAACCACAATGACTTTGTTATCATACTATTTTATTTTTCTTTCGAAGTTTTCACAAGTTCAGGTAATTTTTTTCACCTATCAATAAAATTCTTTACTTACTTCTTAAAAATTCCAGCTATGATTTTACCGAGCGGGGCATGTATAACGTACCTTGTCAGGGTAATTGGATTTCTAGGAAGCCATTCACTTTTTCACTATATTTCTAAAGTTATTTTTATCACGGAAAAGCATTTACTGACTATATGATTCTAAATCATATAACAATAGACATAATTATAAAATGCTAATACAATACATTATGATCCTAAGTAAATAATATAGAGAATTTACAAAAATAAATAATTTTACCAAACAGTCTTAACATTTAAAGTAAAAACTACTTATATCTTTCTGACACGTTGAATTATATAATAGAAAGAGCTTTAAATAGAAAATAAATAGCATAGAATAATAAGAAAATAAATAGAAAGAGCTTTACAGTTCTGACTTTGAAAAGATGAATATAAAGCATGATTCATGAAAAATTTGAATTAGAAACAAAAACACTATCTAAAAAGAAATTTTGATATTATAAGCAGATAATGTATCTGATATTACAAGCAGGAACCCTTTTGCAACAGTATAAAAAGTTTGAATAATTATCTTAATATTAATAAAAGCTAGTAAAAGAGAAATTAATTTATTATTACACTTTAAAAAATTCCCGTTTTGTACTGTACTGTTTTAATGTTTTTGTTTTGTTTTGAGTAAAACGTTTTCAAATATAATTTTTACCTTCTTTTGGGCATTGCTCTATAGGTATACATAGTCCATTGTCATTTCGAATGTAACCCGATTTGCAGAAGCACCCGCTCACGCACTGCAGGGTGCAAGGAGTCGGTTTGTCCTTGTTTGCACAGAAAAGAGGACATGCTGGTCCACAGTCCTGATAGACTTCATCTTTGCCGCACTTCTCTGGAGAAAAAAGATAAAATATTCACAAATCGATCTTTCACAAGAATGAAAAAATGACATCACTAATTTCACTGAATATTAAAGTCCTAGATCGTTATGCTAAAGAATGCCGAGGCTCAATCACAAACGTGTATATATAGATTTAAGCTAAAATAACTAAAACATTCACAAATGAACCTATAAAACATATGAATTCCTATAAAACATATGAATTTTTATAGGAATTAGTAGATCATATCAGAGATGAATGAATATTTCGTTAAGGATATTTCATTTTCATTTGTGGTTGATGTCTCTGATTTTATTAACAAACACTAATATCTAGGTTAAAATAACAGGCCGAATAAAAAGCATTGGAGGAGTTCTAGATTAACAACTCCAAATCCAATCCATCTTTACTCTCAACTTTTAAGGATATTATTTCAAATTGTTTTCATCTTTTATCAATAGATGGCGCTAGTAAAATTACTTTCTTCCCCTCATTGTCTGAGCACAGGCTTCTCTTTCGTCATTTGCACTCCTGTAACTGAATAGAATTTTCTATACTTAAACCTTCGAAACTAGTACTGCAAATTTATGAATAGTGATTTTCATTTTGAAAGTGCATGATGCTGACTAATTGTTAAACTGAGTCAAGTTGAAATACCAGAAAAATAGTTCATCTCCTTGTCAGGTTATACGTAAAGAGTCATTTAAGAATTCTAAATTTTATAAAGATAAGCCTAAACTATGATCTCCAAAATCTGAATTAGAAAACTGAAACTATCTTTAATTCAAAACGCTCTGAAAACAAATGTTTGAATGGAAAGCACCACGAAAAAAGGACTACAGTATAAAAATGGTGCTTCCAAATGTATCATCATTCTTATATTTATTTTTAATAATTAGTAAACATTCTGATTTATTAAACAAAAAATAGAACAACCATATATAATATCATACGAATGTACTGTATTTTACTAACAAAATCAGTTTTATAATGTTTCAGCCGGTAACTGAGAAAACTATATGTATTATCAGAACTGAATATTCACAAAAAATTATAATGGTAAACATTTTACTGTGTAGTAGCATTTTATTTTCAACTACGAGTAAAACCTTTTAAAAAATTGCAGAACAAAGTTTCATGAATCGACATGCTTTTTGAAAGAAGGATGCTTTTCTAAGACAAAAAAGAAAACGAAAGAAAGAAAAGAAAGATAGTATTTTAAAGTGGTTCTGGAAAATTTTTGAACGGAGTGTATATAAACACTTTATAACGCATTTACGAAATATTATTAAAGGGCATAGCTTACCTTGTTTTGGACATTCTTCCGGACGAACGCATTGACCATTTTCATTTCTTACAAGACCTCTTTTGCAAAAGCATCCTTTTACACACTGCAGGGTGCAAGGTGTCTGCTTGTCTTTATTTGCGCAGGAAGGAGGACAAGCTGAACCACACTCCGAAAACACTTCATCTTTGCCACATTTTTCTAAAAATTAAGCACACGAAATAAAGAAAGGAAATTTGAGGGGGGGAAACTCAGTGCATGTATGTAGGCTAAATTAAAAAAAAAAAAAGGGAGGGAGGAGGAATTTGAAAAATCAGCCAATAAACTTGGCTGAAATATAATACAAATGTGGCACCCTGTTGTCACGATGACAGAAACCTGTTCCTATAATTTTGGGTCTGGGTCTGAATTCCAATGATGTTTTAAGAGTTAGTTCCTTTGCGGCATGAGGACATTTAAAATATTGCCTAGCTGAAAGTCTTCTTGAATGCTGGTGGAAAGAAAAGCGAGGTAGGCACTCTCGAATCTGTTCCTCGTGAGATTATCCTTCAAACCTGGGAAGGAACTGAATATATACTGTCACCTACAATAAGGCTTCCTTCAGATGAAGGTTTTTGTCATCATACAGTAAGGGCATTAAGTTCATTGACACCCGTTTAACAGGGTTTAAGCTGTAGCCAACCAGGGAAGGGAAAGTTACGCATGCGTAAATGTGTAGCTGACGAGATCGATGTTTGCTCCGATGCTGACCGATGTTTGGTTGGTTTTTATACCAAGCTGGCATAAAATTGAAAAGCTAGAACTTTTGGGCAAAATCTTAAGACAGTTTTTGTAACGTAGAGAGGTCTAGTGGCCTAGCAACAAAGCTCAGCTAAGTCCTCTTATGATTTTAAAACTATCGTGTGAATGAAGCTTAAGGGACGCAAGGTCAATCAACGACAGGCCCAATGTTTAAAAACGTTAAAATTCGTGGACTTGATGTGAGAATAAATCACAATAGCAACATAATATAAATGTACGACGAGTCCGTTTTTGCCTACGGATATTCAGCAGTATGCATCGTTGAAGTTAACATGCGTTTTCAAAAATACGCTCAGAAACATATGAATATTTCAAAAAACATATGCCGAAGACGCTTTACCAGAACTTATAGCGTTTCCGCGTCTAAGAAAGGCCGAGGTTCGTTTCAAATCCTGTTAAAAAAGTGAACGACGGCATTATGATTAATGCAGCGTCTGCTGTTGTTGGAGGAAATCGCCGGATGGAGTCTTGAGCATGAAACACATCTGCGAGATGAGTGTCGAAACTGTAAATTCCTGAACGAAACCGGAAGCGAGGGCAGATCTGACTCGTGAACATGAAAATCTGGTAACGAAACATGATGAGGCATACTTAAAACGCATCATTACAACCGATCAGTATTAGCAACATCGGTATGATTCTGAAAATAAATAGAATAAATAGTTATAAATAAAATAAATAGTTCAGCGGTTTTCAACCTTTTCATTAACGCGTACCATCTAAACAAAAACTGAAAAACTTCAGGACCACCGCTGTATTTTACAATGATTATTTTTTAAATTCTCAAAAGAAAATTAAAAAAAAAATATATATATATATTGCCATTTGCACTACCTATTGGCTATTTTTTTTTGGTATTAAATATGCACACATAAAAATGTTAGATTAAAAACTGGTTTTCATTTTAATTATCAAAATTTAAGTTATAATACTTAAATTCTAAAATTTAGTGTGAAATTTGGGTCTGTTTAAGAAAGATGAATTTCTTTACGTCTGGTTTTATTTCAGCTATTTTTAACCGTAAATTAGGATCCACTTTTAATTTTGTTCTGTGTTTATTTTTCAAATATAATATGGAAGAAAATCCTTGTTCACACAAATAGTTTGTGCAAAATGGCAATAAAATTTTTATAGCTTTATTTGAGATGCCTTTAAATTCTTTTTTCCCGTTCAGCCGAACGTTAACAAGTGTGTTATTTTTGAAATCTTCAATTCGAGTTCACAGGAAATTTCTGTCAATTGCTCTTTTTCTTCACGAGATTTTTGAACTTAATAGTTAAATGTACTTTATTTCTTTGCATACTACCTATTTTTCTCTTGCGTATTACCGGTTGAAAATCCCTGGGCTAGTACATCTTGACAATTCAAACTTCAAAGAAATCCAAAGTTGTAAAGTCAGCGAGACAGCTAATGCTTATCTCTTTTTTTATTATCGCGGAATAATTTATTAGTACTCAATGAATGTGCATTGAACTGTTACCAGTGTTACGTGACACCTTTGAAGACCCTGACCTAAAGTGACTGACGGAAATGATCTGAGCTGCATACATATAGTTGGCGTTTATACCTAAATATGCACTTGCTTATTTTTTTAACACTCTTGTCCCCAAATTGATTCGACAAATATCGAGTGTCTCCTTCACAGTCTATATATTTCAGACCTAGCTAGGCAAGACTATTTTTTATTCCTTCGTTCAAAGTCAGAAATTCGAGATTTCCATTTTGATTCAACAGCTGTTTTGAAGAAGGTGGACGCGATTTTAAATACGATGTTGAGAGATGAATTCCAGCATGTGTTTAGACTATAGAAGGCATATTATTCTAAGTGTATAGCAATCAATGGTGATTATTTACAAAATTACCACATGAAGATCGAATCTGCCTAGTTCATTTCAATATTAATAAATTCATTCTCATTTTTTGATTAACTCTCGTATTAACATTAAATGAACATAGGTTACTTTACTCATATAGCAGTTAGTGAGTAGTTACCTTCTTTTGGGCATTGTTCTGGAAGCACACATTTCCCGTATTCGTTTCTGACAAGACCTCTTTTACAGAAACATCCTCTGACACACTGAAGAGTGCAAGGGCTAGGTTTGTCTTTATTTGTACATGTAGCAGGACAAACTGATCCACATTCATGGAATACTTCGTCTTTCCCACATAGCTCTAAAAAATGAATTCACGTGATGTGAGCATTGGTCCCTCCGCAAAAAGAACATTATTGAGTATTTATTTTATTATATTATGTTATACAAGGAGCCTAAAAATTATCATTAATTGCTAGATATAATTAAAATGTTTTCTAAAATTGCAGCAAGATTTTTAAATTTGTGTTCTGAAATTAAACAAAACTTGTTTATATTTGAACTATAATTAGCGAATGATAAAATGTTATTTAAAATGCTCAAAATTTATTATTCATTTATTAATAAATAGAATTTTCCTATAGTTTATATAATATACACGTTATTCAGAAAATTGCAGAAATTCAGAAAATTGCAGAAATTCAGAAAATTCTCAAAATAATACAAAGAAATCTGTGTAGACAGTTTCTTCAGCACTATAGATAAGAATATTCTAAACTACAGAATGCATCTTTTTATGTGGCCTCCATGAAATAGCTCGATAAATAAAATATTCATAAATTTTATCTAATAGGTTTCATATTTTATGCGCACAATTTGCGTATGTGTGCGTAACTGATATTTTATGGAAATCATTACGAAATTGTTTGCATGAACCATTTTACTCAATACTGAATCATTAATAGCCAAAAGAAGACCTTTTGCTATGGAGTTTCTCTCTAAACCTGAATGACTTCATTTCTAATGGGTGATAGGAGCTAAAAATTAATCTAGGTCAGTAAGTTTTGTTTTCGAATATCATCCTGACGTCTGCAAATAAATAACGATGTAGAATATAACTTAATACCTGTAATTAGAATATGATCACTAGGATATTAATCACTAGGATAGTGTGAATATTTTAGTAACTGAAACATTTATTCTCTATGATATTCGTATCAAAGGTTAAATTTTTACATTTTACAGAACTCTTCTATACTCGGCTTTTAGAAAGTTTACAAAATAGTCTGTAGTTCATATTGCAAAATTTGTCATTGGAAGTGCATGTCTAAAAATCAGTATTTAAGGATTTCAGACTCTAATCGCCTTTTTCTCCAAATAGTTTGTGTATTAGCATAAAACGCCCAAATAATATAAAAAAGAATTTAAGAGATTTGTAGGAAATATATACTTTGGTTAAACCTGATAGCGAAAAAGATGAAGCTTATGCAATAAGTTTCCTTTTATTTAATATATGCGATGTTTTTCAGAGCTAAGTAGATCGCATTTGGAAAGGTACACTATAGCTGAGGATATCTCAGTGAAGAAACACGTTCTGAAAATTTACACAAAGAATTAGGAAAAGGTTACATTCCGATAAATATTAATATATTGCAATCAACTGAAAAATTAAAAGATGTAGTCTAATCAAAAATATAACAGGAACAACATTTTAGCTTCCTTCCCGGAAAAGGACTGAGCTCTGAACTACACAATGTAAATGAGTATTTCATATAACTTAAAAAATCGGATGAAAGAAAAACGAATATCTATAAATTCGGGGTGAAAGCTGTTTTTGTTATAGCTAATAAAAGTATTGAATTATATTCCCAAGCGCAACATGAACAGCAAGCATTTCATATACAAGCATATTTCATACCATTTTTAAGGTGGGGTTATTTCTGACGTAAGTAACTCAAAAAACTTCAAATAGAAATTAAGAAAAAAATAAGTGAGTACCTTCGGTGGTCAAAGAAAAACACATTCCACCGTAAACTGAGAAGTTCTAGGTTTATCTGTTTGTCGGTTGGTCGATTAATTGACTGCGCATCGCAAAGCACTTGAATTATACCTATCTCAGGAAAAATGAATGCACTTGAGGATTTTCTAAAGTAAACTGGCTGACATTCATGTTACACACAAGGCCGTAAAATATCTAGGAAAAATACCAGTATTTAGTAGTCTTATACAATATCCATCTCTGGGATTACAAACACCAAGGATTATTTGTCACGACTTAGGCAAATAGCCCTTGAGGCTTTGCCGTAATTAAAAACCTAACCTAACCTATTGCCACGAAGTGCCTATAGAGATCCCTCTATCTCTACATCATAAACATAAAACAAAAGGCAGAAATAGGAAAAAATGCATAAATAGAATTTAAGGAAAAACTAGAGCAAGTCAATATGTCTGAGAAAGTTTAAAGAGGACAAGAAATTTTAAATAAAAAATTTCTCTTTCTATAATTTTTATATTTAAAAATTTTTCCTTAGCTCAAAAGTGTTATTAGTCTCGAAATGAGATTTTGCGTAGCATCGCTATAAATGCGTCGTTTCACTTTTCATTCGTGTCTGTTGCCATGCGGCAAAATACAAGATATATCTATCAAATTGAATCTGTCTATTGTGAATTATAAACTAAGCTATTTGAATGCAAAAGATGCAACTCTGAAAAATATTCCTTTTACTTCCTTGTACGAAGTAAGGAAAGTATTGTAATCGCAAAAAATTTCGGGCATCATATTTCAACGAAAAGCATCTATTTTCACCGCTCTCAAATCTATCTCAAGGATGTTTTTGCGTGACATCTGTATGTATCTGTATATATGTATTAAAGGTCTCTTTTTCTAAAAACGGATTAAAAAATGGATTAAAATGGATTCGGAAGAGACTATTTTCTTAACGTCTGTACGTACGTACGTACAGATATGTATCTCTCATAACTCAAAAACGATTAGCCTCAGAACGTTGAAATTTTGTATATGGAATTGCTATAACATATAGTTCCGCATCTCCCTTTTTGATTGCAAACGGCAGCACTGAATATATATATGCACACACTCTGTTATACGGCTAGGTGAGCTCAGTCTTTTTAATTCTTATATGTTAGTAAATTGTCGAGTTTTTACTTTAAAAGTAATTGAATTGTGTTGTTCTTATGTTCTGGTTAAGGTTTTTATGCCTTTAGCTAATCTTCATGCGATAGTTGTAGAATTATCCACAATTTATATTATTATTATCAACAAGTTATCAACAATTATCAACAAGTTATTTAAATGCGCCTTACGGCGCAGCCAAATTTTTTTACATTTGAAACTTAGCAGAATAATGAATTAAGTCAGTTTCTGCACCTTCAGTGTCTTTTTACCGAGTGCAGCGAAAAGTAATCTTTCAATTTTCTGCACTGAAAAATCAGCCTTCTTGTCCAGTGGCTGAACTACTTGTTTTTGCGGAGAAACCCTAATTCTAAATTGAATTTGGTGTTTTATGTTTTTTTCTGTTTTTCAATTTTTAATGAAGATGTTTTGAGATTTTATGTATTTTTGCCTTGCCTCGAAATGAGAACTGAAGTAATTGAATATACGTATATCTCTAGTGAAATTGGAAGAAATGAAATACAGCACAAAATGTGTATAGTTTAGTAGGCCGTACAAGGAAGTCATGTGGTGTCCTCATCAGATTTTTTAAGTTTTGAAACAGATTGATTTAAATAATAAAAATGAGTTTAATTTGTAATCTATCTAATTAAAAATATTCAATATTTTCATAGAATGACGTTATATTTTATTATTTATTTCATATTTAGTAGAACTTTAATGAATTTTTGATTAGCAAACTCAATGATTTGAAAGCGAGATGTGGCAATACTGTGCGGAATAAACACTTTTATCGCCAGCTCGCAAGACTGTCTATAGGATATTCTAAGAATAGGCTGTATTTTACTACTTTGTGATTTTGCTGAAGAATCAAATTTCATGTGGCTTAAATGTGAAGAACGCGATATTTAAAAAAAAAAAAAAAAAAGTTAACCCGCAAAACGCTAATCATAAAAAAAAAAAAGTTTTGTAAGCTATCCAAAATCCAACGTAGCAAAGCCGTTGTAAACTGCTCCAAGAGGTTGCAAAGTGGTCGTAGTAACGTCTTTGCTACATCATGTGCTACTTGGAATCTTAGTAAGAAAACTAAACATTAATTTGATAAACTGGAAAAAAAAAAAAAAAATAGAAAAATGTTGGCCAACATTTAACATCGGAATTCTAAACATATCCTGCTTTTAAAATTTTGTGATTTTGCTGTTGAATTGCATATGCTGTAGTGCAAAAAGAACGATACTTAATGATCAAGCTAAAAAGTTGGTATTAAAATATGGTAGATGAAAATTCTTCACTACCAGAATTTGACGACTGGGTTCCCGCCTCCTCAATAACCCTTTAAACGAGGGAGAAAATAAACCTATTGTCTCCTTTCTTACCGTCTGCCTTAATGGTTTAATTGGAAGCAGATCCGACTGGTAATCGGTAGGTCCGAATGTTCGAAACTCGGCGAGGGCACTGCTCATTTTTCATGTTTCTTGCTTCGAAACACCTAATTACTCTACAATATATTTTTTGGAGAGTAATATCTAATTTAAAAATGCGTAGCTTACTCGGTATTTTATTTTAAAATGTTTAGGCTATTTCATTTAGTTAACGAAAATTTTATAATGCCTTTTATATTATATTAACTATAATGGTACTGTTAATTAAACAGATTATATTTTGTTCTTAATTATCTTACCATGCTTATACAAGTAATAATTTTTTTAAAGTAATAGGCCTATGTGAGGTTTAAGATGAAAAGAATATGAATTTACTCCAACTTTTGATCATAGCAAAGGAACAGATTGGCTTCATACAATTTTCATAATTACCCTATGTGAAACGTAAATTCAACACAGTTTCCCTAGGAAGAGAGTGCATTAAGCCTTCGTAAATTTTTGACGAAAACTTTCCTTCCCTCAGTAACTTTAGGGTTCTTTGTAGTAGTCAAAATAAATACACTTAAAAATATTGTTAAATGAATTGGGTGAAATTTGGTTCACTTTATAGTGTTTTACTTGCTTTCGTAGCATAAACTAAATCCATACGATTAACAGACGAACAGCGAATTATCGCTGTCTGAAATTAACTATAGAGACTTAAAAAAAAATGAAAGCAACCTTTTTATGTAATAAAATTTAGAACATAAACGTACTTCTCATGCTCACAGGATTAGCCACCATTTGTGGCTATGCAACAGGGTAATAGTCAAATTCAAACTTTAAAATGCAGACTAGGAGTCTAAGACTACACATTAAATCGAAGTTGGCTCATAACCTCTCACCGGCCTAATAATTTAAGTGACGGCAGCTATAACGCAAAGCGCAGTAAATGCAATCTTATCAAAGCCAGAAAAACTAAGTAACATGGAAACTAAGAAGCAGAAACACGCTCTGTCTTATAATTCAAAAACTTCAGCTTAAAAACTGTCTAATTCACTTGCATTTATCGTGAGGAAAAGGAGAGAGAAGATGTTATAGTAAAGGCTGAAAGCATAAATAATTGGTTAATGAGCAATAATAGTAACCTTAGAACTTCATTCAGTATTATTGCACGCTGAAAGCCCAAACTTTCTTGGCATTTATTTCATTTGTAAGTCAGCATATACAAAAAATAGCTCTGCCTAGGGAAAAATTGGGAATTATTTGGAGAAAATTAAAAAAGTGGAAACAAATTTACCTTGTTTCGGGCATTGCTCTGGAGGTACACACTTTCTGTTCTCGTTCCTAACCAGACCGTGCTTACAGAAACATCCTCTTACGCACTGAAAAGGGCAAGGAGTAGATTTGCCTTTGTTCTCACAGGTTGGGGGGCAGGCTGATCCGCAGTCCAAGAACACTTCGTCTTTTCCGCATCTATCTGAAAACAAAATCGAATTTTCTTTTTTTACTTCCATTGCCGAGATTTCGTTATGGTGCTTAACATTCTCCTATAGTTAAAGCTATAAAAGTAGGGATTTAGATTTTACAATATAGACAAGTTAGATACGTTTAGATCTTGATAATAATACAATATGTGCTTCTAAAAATTGTTTGCAGCCGAGATCTAACCAAGAACATTATCAAAAATCTAACCAAGAACATTATTGATCCTCATGTTCAATCCACAGATCCAGCAAAGTTTCTGGCTATTTTTCTAAATTTTTACCTATCATAAAATCGAAGATAATTTCAAAATCTGCAGCAGGAATTCTCGAATTCATAGAACTGCCGCGACGTGCTTTTCATTTAAAAGTAACCGGTCTGCATTTTGGTTCGCAACATTTTCCACAAAAATAAATTGGACAGAAAATGTATTTTCAAAGCTGAGCCATAAACGTGTTTCAGGATATTTTAAATAAAAGTAAAATATGTAAATAATTATCTAAATAATGATATAAATCTTTTGATTTTTCAGCATTGTTAACAAGAATAAAAAAAAAAAAAAAAAAAAAAAAAAAAAAAAAAAACCAGCGCATTTTGTACTATGGAATTCAAAGCAATTTAAAGGATTTACAATCTTTTCAGGAGGTTTCTTTTTATGACAAGACAAAATTATAAAAATTACTTAGAATTGTAAAATTATGATTACCAGTTCTGGGACATTGTTCTGGAGGTATACACATCCCATCCTCCTTTCTAACAAGACCGGTCTTACAGAAGCAACCACTCACACACTGCAGAGTGCAAGGCGTCTGTTTGTCCTTATTTGCGCAGGAAGGTGGACATGCTGACCCGCAGTCTAAGAATATTTCATCTTTTCTGCACCTTTCTGGGATAAAAATCATAGGTCTTGAGTATAAGATTAATTTGTTTGAAGCATGATCATGCCTTCCAAAATATTATATTAAACTGAAGCATAAAATTAAAGAACAACTTAGAAAATGTTACTTTAACTGAAATGCATGAAAAGGAATATTGTATATTTTAGTAAAAACTTGAACAGAGATACATCTCACTATTTATATATTGCAAAGCTATATCATAACATTTTGTAGCATGATAAGTACAAAGAAAATCACGGCTTCTCATTATTAAGAGCAGGAACAACTGATGCAATGTCTGGTGAACGCTAACCAAAATGCAGGCATTGCAGTGCCTTTTTCAGGAATTCAGGAATAGTGAATTAAAGCTTTTATGACATTGAACTAGGAGGAAGGGGCATCTAGACCTAGCACTGAGGCAGCCTTACGCGGTTAATCGGCCGAACCTCTAGAAGGTAAAGGAAGAACTCTAGAAGGTTCTCCAAGGAGGAAAATTTTTGTTTCGCAAAGTTTGGGTTTGAATCACAACTCTGGTGGACCGCTACGCATCCACCGAATAAGCGCAAAGCACAAAGTTTGACGTCGACCCAACGCTGACCAACGGAAGTCAAATTCCCAAGGACATCCTTCGATATCAAACAATGTATCGTTCCCACAACCAAGGGGAAGACAAAACAGTACCATATGGTCCCTGCCGAGCCTGAACCAACCACCGAATAAACGATAGTCCTAGTCACTGTGAAGACTGTTAATTTCCCCTCAGAAATTAAGTCTCTAAATATTGACCTACCCAGAACGCCGGAATTACTCCCAGTCGACCCCCGGAGGAAAGCTTTTATGACAAATACCTACACTTCCAGGAGGTCAGATCTGAGCGTTTGGAAGCGTTTGAAAGGAGGGCTGGCGCGAAGAAGAAGAGTATAAAAAGTAGAGTAGTAAAAAAGCGTTAATTCTAATAACCGTGTTCGTATTGAGAAAGAAAGAGTTCCGGAGTGTATTTTAGAAGATTCATTAAACATTTAATTTCATTTATTCATCAAATGGAGAATATCTATGAACTCAGGAATTACCATATTTTAGGCAGGATCTTTAGTGAAAGAATGCCCTACTCGGGGAATGCAGGACGTCCTCTTCATATCTCTGGCCCATAGCCGAGTATTGTTAATATTCCATTTATCCTCCCCAGCGCAAGCCAATTTTACAAGAATTAGATCTTTCTCGTTTATTCAAATACTGTCCGTTCTTAGCAGATATACGTTTGTTGAGAATTAATATTCAGATTGACTCTTGAGTCACAAAGCTTGGACTTCATTGGTAAAATATAGGTAAAAGCAATATTTTCAGTGCTAAATGCCTATTGTATGCTGATGACCAATTTATTGAATTTGAATAAGTGTAATTGACTATTATGTTAGCTGTAACCGTAAATCCATCTTCATATTGCTTTCCAGTAATTTCTAAAAGCAGAAAGTACGAGAAGTATTACGCGACCGGTTGAAAACTATAAAAGGCCGGAGAGAGAGCGTCTGAGTTCAGTTGTTTAGTTAGTGTTGTTGCGAGTTATTTAGATCCGCGTGAATTGAGATATCAGAGTTAGCTTTCTCTTTAGATGCGATTTGTATTGCGTTGAATTTAACGTTTATATCAGTTTGAAGTATAACTATTGGTTATTTGCGTAATATTCTGAATACTTGTAGGAATATATCTGAGGAAAATTCCAGAGTTCTGATGTATTTCTTTTGATAAAATAAATTTTATTAATCTATTATGGGACTTGTGCATTCAATCTATTACGAACCCGTACGCACGCAACACCTTTTGGTGTCAGAAGTGGGATTGAATGCCATAGTACGGAGTGTATACTTTAATGTAAATAGTATGAGACCATGGTCCTATTTGTTTCTAAATTTGTATTTGATTTGACTTGTATTTAGTATTTGATTTGTATTTAGTGTTTGATAGTATTTGATTTGTTTCAAGTTATTTATCGCAATAATTGTTTATGTTGTTGTTATTGTATTGTAATGTTTATTATTGCATTGATGCTTTAATTGTAAATATGGCTTCCTGTTTAGGGATTGTGTTACAACTCGAACGCGAAAGTTTCGCCAGTGGCAACGAGGAGTCGAAAAACGAACTTGAAGGAGTGGTCGCTTACTCGGTTTCTCATGATAGAATTTCATACGAAGGGGGATAATCTCCATCTTCTGATTTGAAATTAATCTCGAATTATGTATATATTGTAATATAAAAGATGTGTGCAAATAAAAAGTCATTAAGACTTTATTAAAGTAGTGATTTGAATCGAATATAGAAATCGAAAGCTCTCCCAAATAGAACTATGGATTATAGAAATAATATTTTTTAGTGGTGCCGAAACCCGGGACTTTGGATTAGAATTTCGAAGATTAACAGATGGATTACCTGTAAACAGGTAAACAATTCCTTTTTTCTTTGAAAATTTAAAAAAAAAAAAAAAAAAAAAAAAAAAAAAAAAAAAAATTGAGTTTCAATATTGTGATTAGTCAATTTTAAACAGGGAAGCTTTAGACAAACTGAAGCAGAAACGTACGAATGAACGCAGTAGCGTTACGAAATTAATTACAAATTGAGGATTGCATTGAGGAATTGCAGGAGAGGAATAAAACAGTTCTCGAAAGAGAAAACACGTTGAAAATGTTGAATTCACAAATCGAAACTCAGTTAAAAGATGCTAAAGAATTTGAAAAAGATATATCTGCAAGTGATAAATACAATGAACAAATTATGTCTGCAAAGTTTAGAATTAAAATAAGATTGAATAAATGTAATGAAAATTTGTCTGTGAAAAATGCATCAGATAAAAATTCTTTGAGCACATCTGTTTCTGAAATAAATGTATCGTTATCGGCTATAAAATTGCCAAAGTTAAATATTCCAAAATTTTCAGGAGATGCAGGAAAATGGTTAGAATTTTTTAACAGTTTTCAACCTGCGATTGATTAGATTAGTTAACCAAGATTGAAAAATTCGTATACTTGAAATCATATTGATAGGGCAAGCATATAATGAAGTTGAAGGATTTCAGTTAACCGAACACAATTACGATTCGTGCTTAGAACTTTTAAAAGAACGCTTTGGAAAACCAGAGAGAATTATAAAATCACATATGAATAATCTTTTGGATATAGAACCAGTTAAAAATTCTTCTAACTTAAATGCACTAGGAAGATTACACAACGCTTGTGAAATAAACATTCGAAGCTTAAGTAATTTAGGAGTAACTTCAAGTTCATACGGACACTTGTTAAATCCGATATTATTGAAATTATTGCCTCATGATTTGATTCTCGAATATCACCGAAAGCGTGATCCAAAAGAGGAATCTGATGTTACAGGTTTAATTGCTTTTCTGAAAAACGAAATTGAATGCCGCGAATAAACGTACGCAATTAACAAATCGGAACCAAAATTCGTTCCATTGAACGGAAAGAATAAACATTTCGACAAACACAAAAGTAATTTTAAATACGCAAACAATAAGTTTAACTCTAAAGTTAGACCCTCGTCGTCAGCGGAATTATTAGCTCCCGTAAAGGAAGAAAATTGTATTTTTTGAAAAATAACACAGATAATAGTGAAAAGTGTAATATGAGTGTAAATGAAAAACGAAGTGTTCTAAGATTACAAGCTACATGTTATATTTGTCTGGCTCAAGGTCATAGATTTTCAGATTGCTCTGAGAAAAACTCTTGTGTATACTGCCACAAAAAACATAATGCAACCCTTTGTTACAAAAATGAGAAAAATCCGTAGCATCGGAATCAAGAGGTGTAGAAAATTCAGCCTACAATCACATTAGCATCGGTAAGAATAAAATATTTTTACAGACGGAGACAGTAAGAACTTAACTAAGTAAGCAATAAATTAGTTCGCTTTGTTTATTTGACAGCGCTAGTCAACGCTCGTATATTCAGAAACGTCTGTCTAAACAACTGGATTAAAAGTCGTGGGAAGGGAAGAAAATAATGATTCATACTTTCGGATCTCAAGTGCCTACCAAACAGAACTGCGCGCGAGTAGAAGTAAAAATAAAAATCATTTTCGATAACCAGGAATTAATTATTCAGGTTTTAGAGATTAATGAGATCTCAAATGCTGATCTAGACTATCCACCGGAAAATATTAAGGAGTCGTTAAAAGATAAGGGAATAATTTTAGCGTATGTTGATCACGAATCTTTAGATAACAACAGCGTATCTTTGCTCATTGGAGCTGATAATTATTGGAAATTAGTAAAGGGCAAAATTGAACGTTTGAACTCAACATTAGTTACAATGGAAACCAAAATGGGTTGGATTTTAATAGGAAAACTGTTTGATCATATGAAGGATAGGGAAAATGTGACTCATGCCGTCGCAGTGACTTCTATATTAATTCACACATCGAAGATTGAAAATTTGTGGAAATTTTCAATTTCGATTTATGGAAATTTCATTTCGTGAATTTATTTCTTGTAAATCGAGACCCTGTTGAAACAAAATGCAGAAAGGAAATGGAAATTGCCCCATTGAATCATTTTAACGAAACTGTTACCTTTAAAGAGGGAGGATATAAGGTTCAATTTCGTTTGGTAATAGAAAAGGACTGTTTAAGTCAAAATTTCGATATTGATAGACAGCGTTTAAACAGTACGACGCACCGGTTGATACAAAAGGGAAAATTCCAGGATTACGAAAATGTTTTCACAGATTGGTTAAATGATGGAATTATAGAAGAAGTCCCTGAACACGAAATGAATAATCAGTGTCACTATTTACCACATAACGGGGTATTCAAAGAAACTTCGACCACGAAATTAAGACCGGTATTTGATGCTTCCTGTAAAGACAAAAATTCGCGCTCACTTAATGATTGCCTAGAAAAGGGTCCAAATTTGCTGGAACAAATTATTCCTATAATTTTAAGATTTCGCAAGAATAGAATAGGAGTTATTTCAGACATAAGAAAGGCTTTTTTGCAAATGTCA